CACACACATATATTACACACACCTATATAATATATATATATCTCCACATTTATGTATCTGACAGCTGATTGTCCCACCTAACCAGTTCATGGAAACAAACCAAGTGAATCCTTTCTATAAGAAAGATCAGCCTCTTTCCCCACTTGTCAGTGTATTTAATAGGAAGGCCTTTCTGTTTTCACAAAGTCTCTTCCCAGTATTTCCAGGAATCCCCAGAGGTATGTTCTAGTATCTCCCCATACTCTCCAGGCCTCAGCAACTGGTGAGTTCCAACTGGACATTTAACTTCTCAAAAAATTGTGGAGCAAGGAAGTCAGTTTGTCCACTCATAGCCAAGTGGTCCTTTTTATTCTTTGTCCATGCTGCCCACGGGCCCAGCCTGTGTCACTACTGATGTCCTGGGAGCTCTGCATCTGGACTTCTGGTGATCCCTGCTCCCTGGTGTGTGCAGAAACAACTCTCCCCTCTTCTTGTGGACCTTTCAGAGAGGAGACCCATGGTGGTGCAGACTTGGAAAGCTCCTTGCAAAATGATTGTAAAAATTATCCTCTACATTTTGAGACACACAGATAGTCCAGCAGGGCTGGGAGGCATGGTGGTCAGTACCACCGTCTCCTGCTCAGCTCTTGTAACTGCTCCTGTCAGAAGCTAGATCCCCATCTCTGTTTCCCCTGACTCTTGGTGATTTTCTCTCAGGAGCCAATGTGCCATTTCTTAATCTGTCTACTTTTCCTTAGTCATTGCTCCAACCACTGAGTCTGAAGAGCAACCCAAATTTTCAGGCCCTTTGCAAAACTGGACATATGGTTAGGTACATGGAAGCTGTTACTATAATTCAGACTCCAAATTATCAGCAGTGTGAAGCCCAGTGTAGCAGGTCGGGGATCCAGAGATGAATTTCTCTAGTTTTCTTCTGGCTGTTAAAAGAAAAATCACATACACCCAATATAAAATATCTTGCCTCCCTTTGAGCTCACCTTCATGTCATTACATGTTTCTGTCTAAGATATACTATCATGAGAGGAGGTGATTTACTGAGGTGAAGAACAGGATCAATTAATAAATATCTTAGGAGATTTCCTGGTCATTGTCTGTCCTGTTCTTTCAAGCCGTGCGTAGGTGCTGCATTAATAACCTTGGAGAATAAATTGCAAAATTGGGACATGTAGATGTTGACTGATAATTGGTTATACATGAACCTTGCAGTGGTAGGTGTGTCCTGTAGGTCTGAGGGTGTGGTGTACTTTTAGTTAGAAATTGTAAAATTAAAAGAAAACTGTAAGGAACTTTAGTTAAGGTTCTGGTAGTTATAATCTTTTAAAGTTCAATTAAACACACTTCCTTTTTTTCAGAATATTTAACAACCTGTTGCTTTAAAAAATTTTTTTGTCTTCACATTAATTTATTTAAGTAGCATCAGCTGTTTAAACTAGGTCCAATCATAAAAATTATATTGGTAATACAAATGTTAGTAGACTATAAAATATAGTCTACAAGGCATTTCACCTTTTAGAAGAACAGAATAATTCTGGAAGACTAGTAGGTCAATGGATTGCCTTCGATAATATTTTAAAAGTCATTTCTTAATATGCATATTTTTCTGTCTCCATATTAAAACAATACTGCTCCCTCCTGCATGCGTGTGTGCGTGCATGAAGCAGAGGCCTGTGTTTGCTGACCCAGCCCATGGGAGAATCTGTCTCACTTTGTTCCGTGAGCACCTTGGCTGCCCCACCCAACATTGGACTCTTGCTGTCAAGTACAAATGGGCTGGACCACAGGTTTCCATGTAAATGTTGTGCAGGTTAATATTTGAATGGCTGGGACAGGAAGAGCATTCTTCCTGCTCTGGGCTGTCTGTCAGCATGTGTCAGATTCATTGACTTGAGCCAGTCTTCCATATGTAAGTGTCTCATCTGAATTCTCTTTTTCTTGATCAGCTTCTTGATTCTCCTTAATTTTGAATATATCTAGTAGATGATCTTTTTCACAATCTCTTTGGGTCTCAAAGTTGGTGTGTGGCAGTGAGATTCTTCTGTAGGCTTGGGATGCTTGTTTGAACAGGGGTGGTTTTTGATGTCAGAAGAAAAGAGCAGAATGTGGAAAGTTTTGCTGAGCTATGCCTAGCCCCACACCCCAGACTGCACATGCACAGAAACTTTGAGGGTTGTATTTCTGCCTTTCATTAACTAGAATCCTAAATTGGAAACAAAATTTGAAAGAAAGAATCCTTAGTTTAGTTTTTATTGTAAGAAAGGAAAAAAATGTTGTTAGATAAAATTTATGAAAAGTTAGGACTAAGATGTTACATATTGGGTTGTTTTGTGATCACTGAGATTTATAAAGATCAATGATTTGGGAGTAATGTCCAGTTGACTCTAACTATTGCGGGACAATAAAGAGATATGTGGCTACTAAATGTATGATATCAATCCAAAATTACTGAATAATTATTTGCTTCATCAATAAATATTTTGTTTGTCAAAACACTTCTCAGTAAAATGTTTATGTTGTAAGGTATAGGAAAAAAGAAGGCTTATGCAGAGCATTATAACTTATAGATTCGTTTGTTACATTCTGGAAGCTAATTGATTTGGCTGTATTGTTTTGACTTTAGGATAATAATTAGACTTTAACACACGATTTGCCAAAAAAAAAAAAAAAAGTATGTTTCCTTTTCCTCATTTTGGAAAACCAGTTTAATGGAACCAGAAAGAATAACTTCATTCTCTTTCCTACATTTAAAATTCAAGTATGTGTATTCATGACCCTGACAGGTATAAAATAGAGGTTTTTGGGGACAATTTTAGCTTTTGGTTATAGTGCAATAATATTATTTCAAGCCACACATAGTAACAACTTTTTAATATGTTATGGGATGTTCAATGGACTGAAGATTTTATTACTAAGAAATTTATATGATGAAGTATGAAGCATACCCAGTGTACCTGAAGGATACTCAATTTTTCCAATTCTATAGCTGTTTCATATATATACATGTATATATATAGTGATAAATATATACACATATAGTAATAAATAAGCATGTATTAATTACTAATCCAACTTATTTAAATAATATAAAGATAGGGCCAAAATCATTAACCCTCTATAAGTAATGAGGTAAAATTTCTCTTCAAAGCTTAGTTCCAGTAGCAACCCACTCTGTTCAAAGCTTAGTTCCAGTAGCAACCCACTCTGTGAATTCTCTCCTGTGCATATTACTTTCTTCCATGGAATGCTGCTTATCAATTTTAAAGTATTTGTCTTACATATCTGTCCCCCTGACCGACTTATGGGCTCTTTCAGGACAAGGACTTTTCAAGTGTCTCCAGCCCTGCCACAAACTGGGCCTGCGATAAAATTTGTAAAATTAAATAAACCAATGTCAGAAGAGGTTTCAGTCACATGTGATCTGCCCCAAAGACAGTTAAGATGTGATGATTTCAGGTGACAGATGTCCTAATTATGCTGATTTGGTTATTCTACAGTGAATACATGTATTGAAACATCATGCTATACCCCATAACTATATATAATTATTATTTATCAATTGAGAATTTTGGAAATTAATTAAAGCACTTGATAAAGTAAGAAAAAAACCCCAACAACAATAGATGCAAATTCTTGTTCAAGTCTGAATTTTTCTAAGCATCTGAGATGAACACTTTTGAGTTTTTATTTAAATCACTTCCAAGTCTAAGGCAATAGTTGGGAAGTTTTTCTTCTCTAATTGTTTGAAATCTGGCATCACCATTCTGATACTCTTGGGGAATTGCTCTATGCATGGCCCTTAATTTCCTCAACCTATGATAAGTAATCACCCCACCCCCACGCCCTACCAGGGATTGAACTCAGGACCTTGCACTCATGAGGCAGGCACAGTGCCAGTGAGCTAATACCCAGCCCTCTTTTTTCTAAACTCATTGTATAATAGGTGTTGGGGAGAATTAGATGAAATAATACATAAAAGGGCATAATGCACTGAACAATGCAGGCTGCTATTTATTGTAGTAGGCAGCTACAAATTTAGCAAGCCCTTGCTGAACCTTTACCTTTCTGTGACTATGCCAAGTATTTTCTTGGATGGATTCTTGAACACTGTATGATCTACAATATCTCTCTATAGAAATCTGTAATTGGCTGTAGCAGTTAATAAGAAATTCTGTTTGATCGTGAAATATTTGTGTAACATTTGTCTTCATTTTTCATTGTCAGTAAAGGTTTCTCATACATCTGAATGATTCAGTTTTAATGTATTAGATTTTATCTTACTAGGTGCACAATAATGAAAATAAACTCATTAGAAAAGGTTATTAAAAGGAATCTGTCTCTTACTGTATGTTTTGAAAGAAAAATACTGTATACTAACAAATCTGGTGCCCTAAATTTCCCCCTTAAATTAGGAACTCTTGAGAGAAATTTGGAGGTTCAAATGAGACCTTCAAAATCTTTTGCTGACAGGGTGGCATCACAGTTTGGGGAGGTTCTCTTTGAATGCCTACTAGATGTAACAGTTCTAATGTATTCCCTCACATCTCTGAACTATGGCTTAATTTTAAAATGTATGATTTCTCTAGCTAGAAGCCTGAGAACTGTTTTTATCACCAGGTCAAAAGTTTTGGGTTGAGTGATAGTGCCCTAAGGAGAAATGTGTGTTTTATGCTTATAGAGAATGCTCTGCTTAAAGAAAACATGACTTAAATTCAGAAATAAACTCATTCTGCCCTTTGAGTTTAGAATTTGTTTTTCCCAAGAATTTGTCAGGTTTTCTTTAAATATCAGACTTGTCAATATACTTAAAATTGGATGTTTTTCTAAGTGCAACTTTGAGGAGGTATGCATACCAATATGCCCTGTCCTTCCCCATAGCCTCTCTGAAAGAGAAGAATAAGTGTGGACTCATTTAAAATTGTATAAAAGTGTTTGCTTAAAACAACCTTTTTGAAGTGGGAAATGTCAAGTTGCTGAACTTAAATTTTCTTATTTTTTTCCTTTAGGAGAATGGTGTTGAACGCTCGTATTCTGAGAGCCTGCCGCAGCCCAGGTAGGCGGTTTGTGTTGTCTGAGTGAATTTATGTATGCAATGGTATTCCTTGGGTTGATCAGAGAATTCCGTGGGCTTGACATTCCAAGATATCTCTTCTCCTTTGATACAGGAAGCATCGCACACTACCATCGCCTGGGCACGCTTCATCCACAGAGAGTACTGTAACTTCCAGTGGTGAGTGGGCTCAGCAGAGATGTAACAGGAGAGTTATGGGGCTGGGGATGTAGCTCAGTGGTCCTGACATTGATCCCTAGTACCACACACACAAAAAAGTTAGGAATTATAACTTTAAGCCTCATGTTCAGCAACCAGGGGTGTGCACATGAGAAGAGGACAGGCAAATCCTTTGTTTGCATAGTATCCATGCTATTTCTTCCCGTTGGTAGATTCTGGATCAGAAATTTTGCATATGGCTTCAGGTGACCTTGACTCCAGATCCCCTTGTGAGAAACAGGAAACAAGATCAGTGTCCACCATGATAGAGACCCAAGGTAAGCTGTGAATGGGATCAAGTACAGGTTTTATTCTGAAACACTCAGCAAACCTGTAGGATAGTGAAGTAACTATCCTTTGTGGCTCAGAAATGTTATCTAATATAAATTTTTAGAAAATGATTCTTTTTTAAAGTTAATTTTATTGGGACAGTTTAGATATACATAATGATTACAGCCATCATAGGGAATTTGCTCCTGTGCATGATACATCTTGATTCTTTTTCCCATTCCCCTCCCTGCCCTTCAACTCCTCTTTATCTCCTTATTTACAAAAGCTTTGCGTTCACTTTTTCCTTCTATTCTTTTTTTTCTTGTCCCTTCTTTCCTTTTCCCCCTCCCTCCCTTATTCCCTTTCCCATTTGAACGTTTTCTTCCCCCTTCCCAGTATCTATTACATATTTTGGTCCTTATTTACCCTTGTTTGCTCATACCAGATAAACAATACAATATTTAAATACGTGTGTCCTATTTATGTCACTTAAGAGTATGATCTCAAGGTGCATCCATTTATCCGGAAATATTTCAAGTTTATCCTTCTTTATGGCAGAGTTAGAAAATAATTCTTATAAAAGTATTCTGGAGGCATAGTCTAAGAAGTAAGCATGACCTTCACGTTGAAGATAGTACCATTTTTTTCCTCCAGTCTTGTAGATAGAAAAAAAGTTACACTATGTTGTAATGGAACTTACATATTTCCTTGTGAGTAGGATTAGACTCACATGGGTCAGTCTCAACTATGGCACAGATGTGATGTGACATTATCTCCTTAGGAAACTCTTAGAATTTTAATTAGAATCTTACTGGATTAGAGGGATGGACCAATTAGCAAGAGGTAACAGAATTAACCAGATGATATGTTAGATCCTATTCTGCTCCTTTTCTCTGAAAACAAGATAGTTATTCTCAACCGTCTCCAGTGAGACACCACTACAATTGACACTCGTAGGAGGTGTATGCTTCCACTCCTTCTGAAAAAGGGTCAATATGTTGTTTGAGCTCAACATTTAAATTTGAGATATAGGCGCTAAATTAGTATACCCATAAAATTTCAGAAACTCAGCCCATTTCATGGGCTAATTGAAAAATATACTACACTTCATACCGATCAAGAAAATGTTTTAATTGAAACTGCACCAGGGTACCATTTTTTTTTACCTGTCAGGTAGATAATGATGCAAATATTTGATAACATTCTGTTAGTAAGGTTGTAGAGGAAAAGGGAATTTTTATAGAAAATATAAATTTTTGTAACTATCATGGAGAGAAACTTATCTATCAAAACATAATCCCCGATACACCAATTCAGTTTCTGGTTATAGTTATCCTATAGGTATATGTACACATATGCAAAATGATATATGTCTAACTTTATTTATTACAGCATTGTCTGTAATAACAAAATGCCAGCAACAAATTAACTATTGATAAAGTGTACTTCAGCATATCCATGTTACAGAACATTAACATGCAGGCAGCAAACATGTATAAGGAGACATTTTTTTTATACTGCTACCAAAGGGCTATTGCTCCTTGAAAAAAAAGTATAGGATGTTACACGTAACATGCAAAATTTAGTAGAAAAAAGATAAAAGTCTTATGTATACACAAAATATATCTGGGAGGATAGATAAAAATTACTAACATTGTAGGGAAGAAAATTAGGTTTCTGGCAGACACAGATAAAAGGAAATTTTTCTGTAAAAGGAAAGTTTTTCTTTGTAAAACATACTTTTTGATTTATAAACTGTACAAATCTATTATCTGTCTTAAAATTTAAAGAACTAAAATAAGATCTTCAAAGGGAAAATTGTATATTTCTTTAAAAATGGGTGCCCCTTTTGTTCTTTTTCCATATACATTTAAAAAATATAATACAGGCTTTAAATGTATTTTTTTCTTAAAGCAACCCTGTCTATAGCTGCTGAACTCTGCCTCAGCTAAGCTAAATTCAGGACAGTGGGTTATGCGGACAGAATAATAAGCTTCAGTGCATTTCAGTGCACAACACACACAAAAGGAAATTACAAAAGGAATGGCACAATTTAAAAGTGTACCTTTTCGGGCTGGGGATTTAGCTCAGTGCCTTGCAAGTGCAAGGTCCTGAGTTCAATCCCCAGTACTGAAAAAAATGTACCTTTTCTTCTTAGTTTGATAACATTGTGTTTAGGAAGAAATCGTGTTTTATTAGGATATCATATTTTGGTATCAACCTTGCAGATACAGTTTTAAAACACCTGTTTGCCAGCTACACAAAAGCTACAGTTACTAATTGTTCATCTTTTCTACATCCAGTTTCTATGATGAGATCCAGGAATGTGTTTCCGTTTTTTTTAAAAGGCTGGATTAGATTTTTTCTTTTTGTTTTTCTTTTAAAGCAGCCTCCTATTTGAAAGGCCACTGTGTTGGCCAGCTGCCCCTTGCTGGGATAAAATCCTGATTTAACACAGCTTTCAGGAGCAGAGGTTTATTTGGCTCACAGTTTTGGAGGTCCACGGTCAGATAGCCCTAAGCAGAAACAGCGTAGCTAAAGAGCCTGGCAGAGGAAAGCTTCTTGATCCATGGTAGCCAAGAGGCAGAGAGTGAGGGCAGAGCCAGAGAGCAAGGGGTGGCAGACTGATATAGTTCCCAAAGTCCTGCCCCATGAGCCACTCCCTTCAACTAGGTCTTGCGTCCTTCTAGTTTCCATCATTCCCAATAATGCCCTCAAATTATAATCTCTCCCCTGGATCAATCCACAGATGCAACGAAGAGCCTTACAATCCAATCACTTCCCAAAGCCTGTCAGTAACCAATCTTCCAGCATAATGAGCCTTTTTAAGGGGTACATTGCATCCCAACCATAATGGCCATTCATACAGGTGTTCGTCTCTATTGGGAAATCTTCCATGCCTTAGCTTCCTTGTGGGCCACAGCTGCTGCATCCCTGACTCTGAGTCCATACATTTTTGTAGTATCTTATTTGTCTCGCATATTAGGGTTTTTACCACGGACTGGTCTGTCCTCATTGCTGCCCTCATTATTTCTCCCTCTTGTTACTGTTACTCCAGCTGTTTTCTGTGTTTCCTTTTTGTCCTAGGCACCAGTGCAGCTCATGAGAATATCACATGCCAAGATTCCAGGAGCAAGGGAAAAACTGTATCTAATCTGGTAAGGAACTGTGCTCTCATTAACCTTTCAATGCCATAACAGTGGAACATAATAACATTTTTTCTCTTCAAATTCTTGTTCCCTGAATTATTCTAAGTAACATATATGGATTTCATGCAAAAATTCAAAAAATTGCCATCCTTGGCATAAATAGGTTAACAATAAAAGTGATGTTATATCACAATGGTAGAACTGTCTCTTTAAATTTACAAAGTACTATCAGAAGTATTTATCTTTTAAAAATATTATGAGGTAAATAGAATTACATCATATTTTATAGACAAGTTGAGGCCATATTGGCTATTCACTCATTCATTCACTCATTTATACATTAAAGATCTATCAGAAATAAGCTGAATATCTCTCAGCAGAGGACTGCTTCCTTAAATAAATTCATTAATGAAATAAAGTTGACTAACAGTGGTGTCTGTCTTAAAATAAGTTCTAGCTGGGTATAGTGGCACACACCTGTGATCTCAGCACTTGGGAGGCTGAGGCAGGAGGATCACTGTGATTTTGAGATCAGCCTGGGCTACATGATGAGTTCAAGGTCAGTCTGAACAACATGGTAATACCCTGCCTCACACAAAAAAACCTAATCAGTTGAAGAAACAGATAATTACCAATAATTAGAGGGTGATTAGTGATTATGAAAAATTACTTTGGATGGTAGGCCAGAAATGGTCTCATAGAAGAGACATTGTGTGAGTGGTATTGAATGTTATACAGTCACCTGGCAAAGCCTTATAAGGATAGCTATAACTGTTCACAGAAGAGTTAAATTCCTCTCATAAAAGAGAAGATTTATCACCACATGTAATAACTATGAGTCCAATTCTATGATTCTTGAAGGGTCTCACTTATGTGTTAGTCTCTCTTGTGTACCTGTGGAGTTTTGTGTATATTACTGTGGCTTTCCTGTCAATATATATTGCTCTTAGCCCCATATATGAACATTGTTGTAGTTAGGCCAATATGGTAGCCAGCTAATACAGACCTATACAAACTAACACAAAAGATTATAGGGTGGATACATTTGGGCAATAGGGTAGATTTTAAAAAATGTTACAGCATTTCAGGCTGGAGGAAGTAGAACACTTGGGCATGTGATTTAGAATTCTCTTTTGGTGTGAAGAATAGAGAAGGTGTAGTGTTGGCTACCATATGATCCAAAAATGGCTTCCCCTTATAACAAATAGGAATTTACCTGCTTTAATTTTTCATAGTAGAGTCTGCTCAAGAAAAAATTCTTTCTCATCTAAAAAAATAGACATAAAGACACTTTAAGAAATGATGAGTCAGAAAAACATAGCAATTAAGGTTGTAGGACTGGGTAGGATATGATTGTAATCAGATGGGACAGGAAGGTAGTTTAGCTTGGTAAGGATGGAGAAAAAGACTAATCTGTGATATATTTAGGGGGTAGAATTATATCAGAAAAGGGAACCACTCGGGTTTAAGGTTTAACTATAAGAATGAATAGAGCAACATGAGAAGGAGGAGGGAAGAGAAAGAGTCGAATTTGTGACCTAAAATAAGATCAATTTGAGAAAAGTCAAGTTTCAGGTTGATGTGAGACACCAGTAGCCTTCAGGGAGGTTTTATATGTAGCTATGTTTCCGTATTCATAAACTCACCCGCATGATTTTTAGGAACAGATTTTTATGCAGCACAGGGTAATAGAATTGCAAGGAAACCAAGGGAAGCAAACATCTGCAAGAGTGAGGAATTTATAGGTTTCTTAGATGTTACAGTGAGGCCAAGGTAAAGACTGGTGATTATCCATTGGATTTGCCAAGAGGAAGCCCACGGCAAACTGATGAGAACAGTTTCCACGGAGTGTGGGTCCAGGAGCAGAGGAGTTAGTTTGATCACAAGTGCAGGTGAAGAACTAGAATCAGCATTCAGCAGTGGGCAGTGAAGGTCTCGAGAAGAAGAACCTGTTGCTAGGAAAGGTCATGAGATGGAGGGAGGATTCAAAAACCTAAGAATATTTGCCAAGTGATGAGAATGAGCTATGACTTGACATTTAATACTATATTTGTTGCCAGGCGTGGTGGCACAGGCCTGTAATCCCAGCACTCGGGAGGCTGAGGCAGGTGGAGCGCCTTGAGTTTGAGGCTGGCCTGAGCTACATAGTGAGTTCAGGGCCAGCCTGAACTACAAAGGGAGACCCTGCCTCAAACACCCCCCCCAAAAAAATTACATTTGTTACATTTTATTGAAACCTTCATTTCAGTTGTCTAAAAATTACGTGACATGGTATCAATGACTGAACAAAGGATTTGTTTCTTACACTTACTTTTTAAAAGTTAATTTTATTGGTACATTTTAGGTATACAATATAATGACATTCATCATTGGAAATTTGCACCTTTACATAGTCTCTCTTGGTTCTTATTTTT